CCCCAGTCTCCAGCAGTGGAGGAAGGGGCTGGGGGCTCTGCTCCCTCTTGGCTGCAGTGAGCTTTCTCCTGGCTTGTTAGTTTTTCCAATTTGCAAAGCACATGATTTCATCTTCCCATGAAAGGTCAGCTTACTCATCCCACTTCCTCCCATCATTTAAAAAGTTCACTTTGGGTGTCTACCGGCGTTTCTCAGCCAGGAGCCTCTCGGGGAAGCTGCTGGAGGCTCCACGTTGGAGGGGGGGGAAGACATGTGAGTCCAGAGGCCTGAGCCCTCCCCTCCCCCCTGCCTCCCACCCGCCGGTGAACTCTGCTCTCGCACCGCGAGCTGGAAGCCGTGTTACTGCTGGAGTTTCAAACACTTAACGCAGAATCAGTGAACAGTGTTCATTCAGCTGAAGGGAGGAACCACAATACCACTTGCAGAGAAGGGAGGGGAAGCAGAAGGAAGTCAAAGCGTCTCCAGACGGAGAGAGGGTCTAAATCCATCCAGGAGCAGGGAGCTCACTGTCTTCTAGCCCTTTGTCTTCACAGTTTGCTCTTCTTTTTTGTTATTCAATGTTCTCCAGCCGGGGCCTCCTTGTGGGGTCCCCACGTGCCCTGTGCGTGGTGATCAGACCCTAATGTGGGAGGGAAAGGCTCTGAGGCTGCTGCCTGTGAGCCCGGCCGCTGGGCCCAGCCGGGTTATCAGACGCCCTAGTTCTGAGTCCTGTGTGTCTCCATCTAGTCATGTGAGGAGGCTGGGCTGTATAATTACCTGCGTCTAATCCAGGTTTCCACAGGTCCATTTCCCCTGGTTTTCAAAATAAAAAGAAACACACTTGTTATTTAGATGAAACCAGGAGAATCTCTCAAGTGACCCCCCCGCCCCCCACGGATGATCACGTTTTCCAAACATGGCAGAAAGTTCAGTGAAGGGACAGGGGGCCAGATTTTGGACGAAGCAAGCTGGAATGCCTGGGGTTTTCTCAGCTAAAGGTCTTGCAGCCAAAGACAGAAACATCTTTGCCCTGTTCTTCCTTTCACTGTGCATCAGGAATCATAGAATAATAGGAATCCTGGGATTCAAGGGGACCTACAAGGTCATCCAACCCAAACCACACCCCTCAGCATGCTTCTACAACATCCTTACCAGGACCAGTGGATGGCTAGTGCTTGAATATCTCCAGAGACGGGGAACTCATTACATACACAACCAAAGTAGCAAATCCTTTCTTGGACTATTGAGACTTTGAGAAGAATTGTTCTTGCATCGATACGAAGTCTTTATCCACCATCCCTCCCTCCGCATCAGTTAAGTGCACAACGTGTGCCCACCATCATTTTAGATGCACCTGTCCCCCCACCCATCTGTTTGTGTTCTTTCCCTTGGGACTTCACGGAGGAAATGTGGCCCCTTCAGGGAGCGGGCACTCATCTCCCCAGGCCCTGCTTCCCACTGTGCCTCGGGCAGAGTAAAAGTGGCCCCTGGCGTTCTATCTGCAGTAAAATGTTTAATGCTCCCCCACCCCCTACACACACACACACACACACACACACACACACACACACGCTGGTGCTGATAAAGTAGAAAGGGTTGTTGGGAAGGGGAGATTCTTACCCAATAATCCCTGACCTGTTTAGGGGACCCGTGGCTGGGATGGGCTCTGAGGCAGCACAAACGTGTTAGGAAATCTCCAAGGGACACCAAAACAGCCGTTTCTTTCCCTCCTTCCCTTCTTCTCCCCCCACTCCCCAACCCCCCTCCAGCTCAGAAAGCCGGAAGCTCAGGGTATAATCAACTGTTTCATCTCTTAAAGACCGTCAGCGGCACTACATGCTGGAATTATTAACACACTCAAAAGAAGCGATTTTTCCCCTCACACGATTCAGATGCCAGGCTATTCTGAAGGTCCCTCTGTGCTCTTGCACATTCTGAATTAATGGTCAGAGCTGAGTTTAATTTAGCTCAGTCATTAGCCAGGTGTATGACCTTGAACAAGTCACATGCCCTCTGTGAACCTCAATTCCTTTGTGAATAACATTAGCAGATTGGGTGAGATGATTGCCGAGTTCAGAATGGTTATGATCTATATGTTTAAATATTCTGCTTCTTTAGCCTTATAACTCTACTGCCACCTACTGGTAAAAATATGCACTTTGCCCTTTCCCTAAAAAAAAAAAAAGTGCTGGTGACATCTCAGTTTTTGCCCCAGGGTTTTAGCACCCTTGAGTGTTATGATGAATTAGGATGCTGGGTGCTGTGTTACCTTAGCAGGAGATATTCCCCAGACACCAGGGATTTCTGAGCCTCTCTCTCCTGTCCTCGAAGCCTGTCCTGTTGGTGCCACTTTCATTTATTTGGGACAAGTTTGAACCAAATCACTTTTATCCAAAAGCCAAGGGCTGAAAAATATTTGGACAGCTGAGACTTGGTGATTTTGGACTTGGTTGTAATGAGAAGGAAGTGAATTTGTGAGAACATTTGTATTCTTGTGTTGAGGCTTAAGGGCTGGTGTGGAAAAAAGAAGTTGGAAGACACATCCTGTGTCTACTAGACACTAGCTGGGGACTTGTGAACTCGCCCACTTTCTCTGATCTTAAGTCTTCTCCTCTGTGAAGCTGATGTTGGAAAGACATTTACCTCCACGGTGGTAAATGGACGCAAAATCACTCCGAAAAGTGTAAGGCACTCCTAAAAAACGGGGAATGAATTTTGTGACAGTCCCTGCTTGGTCGTCTTGTAGATACAGGCAGCATTGAGGAGAAGTATTGCTTCTGAATGAAGCAATTAATGGTTTCTACATTTCCATGGTGGAAATGTAGAAACCATTCATGTTTACTGAGAGTACCTCGTGTCAGGCACTCACCAACCTGACAAGGTTAAGTCACAGTAACCTGTGAGTTCAGGACAATGATGATCCCATTTCATGAACAAGAAACGGGCGCCCAGGGAGTGGCAGAGTGAACCCCAGGCCCAGCAGGCGGCTCCAGAGCCTGCCCTTAACCACTACCTGTTGGTCACACATGAGTCACTGTCGCCTCAGTGTCTCCGGGTACTTGGTTAGGCGGCTGAAGAGCTCACCACCTGGCACACCACCTGCCACGTGAGGGCCCGGAACCATCCCCGCTTTAAGACCCCAGTGATGACCTCTGCACTGGTCACAGCTCCTTCCGTTCCCCGCACATCTGGAAGTCACCAGCATGGGACCCAAGCGGGAGCTGCAACACTTGGCCCTTAGGGCGCCGAAGGTTTATGGGACAGGAGCCCAGGTGGCCCTTCAGCTCCCTGGCTTCTCCCCAGTGACTCTCTGGGGTGCATTTTAGGAGGTGATGGCAGCCTGAGAGGCAGCGGGGGGACCTCCGCACCTCCCTGCGCCGGCCTGGCTTCCTGCACGTGTCCCGTGAACTTCCTCTCGCTGCAGTGAACCGGGAAGCGCGCGGAGAGCAGCTGCGGGCGCAGCTGTGCGGGCGCGGTGGCCGCGAGAAGGCCCAGGGCCGTCTGAGGCCCAGGCCGTGAGCCATCGCACCAGGGAAGTCGGCAGGCCAGGTTCACAAACAGACTGCCCTGCGGAGCTCCGCGTGGGGTATTTGTTTGGGACCTGGCTGCCTTTCTCCACGGAAACAACATTAGCTCCATGGTTAGGTTGCCAGGCCGGTGAAGCTCATTGGATCAAACCGAGCTCATGGTACCTGAAGCCAGACAGCAGAAGGGTGGTTCTGAGGAAAAGTCACCTTGTCCTAACTTTAACCATCAGGAGCACACTGCTGCTCTTCCTCCTCGGAATAGGGCAGGAGCGGCCAGGCTGGCACCGGGGCTCCTGTCCCGCTCAGAGGGGCCTGGCAGTCAGGTCGGGGGCTGCCTCTGGTCCCAGTGTGCAGGCCAGGCTTCCCTCCACCCCCAGGAGCCATGTGGGGGTGGGCAGGGCGGAGATCCATGACCGGTGGAGGTCTGGGCACCAGATCCATGCCTGGTGGAGGTCTGGGCATCCGGGGCTGGGAGAGGCTCCCAGTCAACGGCTCCCTGGGACTTTGTGAAAGGATCTGATGGTGGAGGGAGAGGAGCAGCAGAAATGGGTAGGATCTGAGGTGAAAAAGGAGCTGGGAGCATCTGTGAGGGGCAGCGAGATAGGGCGCAATTACTGGGAGCAGGAAGAGGCTGGAGAAGGATTGGAGACTCATCCAGAGCTGGAGAACCAGAGGCTAGACAAGGGCCTGAGGTCAAACGCTGAAAACAACCTCGGGCTGCTGGGCCGTAAAAAGAACGACCTGGAGATTGGTACTGCGCCCTGTCGCCAACCACGCCCTCGCCATGCCCCACTGGGGTGCTGTGTCTGCCTGTTTGTCCTGGGAAGAGCGTGGGCTGCCCAGGTGGGGCCTCTCAGGCAGACCCAACCCCATGAGAGCCCTCGGGTGTCTGGACTGGCAGAAATCTTCTCTTTGATGCATAGAACAAACAAAGCCAAGAGACATTTTCTAGAGGCTGAAACAACTTGGCCTGCCCCCAGGCTCCGGTGACCTGGCGTTGAGCCGCAGAGGCCAGCTGTGTGCGGGGACAGGAGTCAGCAGGGGACACGGGGCGGGGGCGCAGCAGCGGGCGGCCTCGCCAGGCTGACACGGCTCGGGCAGGTTTCTGGACAGCAGCTCCCGGAGCAGCCTGCCTTTGGGTGCCTGAGGGGATTACACAGGGCTGGCTGATCTACACGCAGCCAGCAGTCTGCTTTCTTTCCCTTATTTTGCCCCCCTGATGAAAATGCCCTAGTTCAGATTTTCCTTGGAAGTCAGCTGAGCTCTCTGTGGTTGGCCCTACTTTGGGGGCTTGCAGAGGAGGCAGAGATCCTGGCCAAGGGGACAAGAGGAAGGAGTGCCCCATGCTTGGCTGCCTGAACAGTCCCCGGGGCCTATTAAGGCCTAAAATGGCCTTGGAGTCCTTGCCCCGCCCAGCAATCTGATTCTTAAGCCCTTTGTCCAGGACAACCGCATGCACATTTGCAAATGTACATTAGCAAAGGTGCAATTGTGAAGCATGTAGAAGCTGCTACCCCTGTCTGGGGGCCCCCATGGAGCCCCTGCTCCACTCTGGCATCAAAGCAAAAGAGAACCTACAGCCTCTAGGAATCTTTTCACATGTGGGGGGCAGGCAGGTATCCCCAGGCAAAAGACAGACCTGATCTCTTTTCCTTGGAGGTCTGGGCCCCCGTCCTAACGCCCCGCGGCTGCAAAAGGAATTGCATGCTTGTATCAAGTCTATGAGCTGAGGGCCCAGAGCGAATGGGAAGCACCTAAGCTCCCTCGATTTCCCTTCTAATTACTGCAGGCTTCTGTAGCATCAAGAGAACTTGCTCCGTCCCCTTGCATTCCCAGTGCTTGGGTCAAACCTTCAGGGGTGCACACAGAGGTGAACGGAGGGGAGCCAGGGAGTGTCCTCATGCACAGGAGAAACCCTGGCGCAGAAATCCCCATATCATAGAACCACCTGAGCAAACTCAGCTCTGCCCGGTCCTGGAAACAATACAAATATCTGCTTCTTTTACCCTAGTTCCTCAAGCATAAACCCCAGAGAGTATCCCTTTTCAGGTTTATAAGAGCCAGTGACTGAATCCTTAGGAATTTCTATTACCCCCCCCCCTCCCAAATTGCCTCCAGGGACCGGCAATGGGCAAAAGCTTTGCTTATGTGAGGCTGCCTTGCTCTTCCTACAAGAATCCTCACAAGCTGGGCCCTTGAGCTGTATCTTTTGTTGGCATAATTGGTTGAATGCTCTCTGTCCAAATGTAAATCAAATGGCGATGATTTAAAAAAACAAAACCCATGCAAACAAGCTGAACTTTCGTCAGTAGCTAGGAAGGTGATTCAGGTTCTTACCTGGGTTGGTTCGGGGGCTGTTCGGGCTGCTTGGGTAGCTGGTGGTGGGCCAGAGATCTGTAATAACATTTGACCAGTCAGAGCATGAAAGTTAGTCTAACTGCTCTCATTCCCTCCATGATCTAACCTAACCAGACATTACCAAGGCCACGACCAAGGTAAAGCTCTGTCCTTGGGCTGTCTGAACCTGCCCCCGAGGGGGCACTGAAATGGGCGGTGGGAGGATTTAACCCAAAACAGTGAGTGAGAATTCCAGGTAATAATAATCCTTGAATTTTGCACCTTTCACAAGAGTGCCGTATTTTTTAGACTTCATTGTTCTTACAATAATTATCCTCCACTGAGCCACTCCTGAGGAGTTAAAGTACTCCTTCAATAGAAATGTCACTTAACATTTGGCGATTTGCTTAAACCGTGTTAACGTGGCATTGATGCAAACAGCGTTAGCGGTCAGTCATTCTTAAAGGCGCACCGTGGGTTACCCTTAATTACCGCGTGAGACAAGCAAACCCGCGTCGGCAGTCATGATTTAGTGGGCGATTTCTCTGAAGCAAGGCTTTAAAAGAGAGGAGGAGATGGGGATTCTGTAAAGAGAGATGCAAAATCCCTTTGGGGGAAGGGGGCTGTGTAAAAACCAGCTGAAGGAAAGAACCAAATTTCATGGAGGGGAGGAGGGAAGAGGTCTTGGACACCACCCGTTTCTCTTGCACCAAATCTATCTGCCACCAATTTTCCATTCCCTTTGTCTTTGTTTCAGTTATTTGGACACAACTCAAACTAGCTTTCATTTCTGATTATAAAGACAACACGTGCTTACTGTAAAATATATCCACTGAGCATAGTACGAAGTCACCTGCAGTGCAATCCCTCTATTCGAGTGAATAATCTACACCAGTCTACGGCTTTGGTATATAGAGTTGTATCTCCTTTCCTATGCGACGTTCTCATGTACAACACACCGTTACAAACATGAGGCTGGTCCCCGTGCTGTTCTGTAGCCCGCTTCTTTGACCTCACAGTCCATCACCCGCTAATCTTCTGTCAGTAAGTGCATGTTGTCATCAAAATTTTAATAGCTGTATAGTAACTTCTTTAACTGTTCTGATGATGCACAATTAAACCGTTGCCATTTCTTTTTCTATTATGAACAACATCTGTGTCCAGGCTTCTTTACACCCTTGGCTGGTAATTACCTTAAAGTACATTCTTGTAAGTGCAAATTCTGGGTCATTTCTCCACACTCTTGCCATGACTGCGTATCGTCAGTTTCCAGTGTGAATTTGTGGAAAATGACATCTCGTTGCTCCATTTGCATTTACTTTATTCTTGGTGAAGTGAACATTTTTTGTTATATTTATTGGCCATTTATAGTTCCTCCACTTGCCTGGTCATGAGCTTCACCCATTTGCCTTTTGGGATGTTTGCGTTCCTATTTGTAAGACTGGATTTTAAGAAATACCTTCTCCAGACACGTTAAGGAAATTCAGCGTTCAGAGATGAGAGAAATGTTGGTGGAAAGGGAAAGTGCATGAAGAAGGCCGGGCAGTTACAGATGCTGGCCCCCTGCCTGGCCCAGGCTTTGCCACTTCCCCTTCCTAGCAGCTGCCAGAGGGTGGATGGAGCAGCAAGGGGATCGGAGCCATCGCCTTGCCTTGCCGCTAGGCGGCGCTCTGTTCCCCTCCCTGGCCTACCCTTCCTTGTGGATGCATTTCATCTGCTACATCAGCTGAGGCAACCATGGAGCTTCTTAAAATGAACCTGAGCAGGGAAACAATGCTGGGCAAAGCCACTCCACCTTGCAGACCTGTGGTAGGTCCTGCTGACCCTGTAGGTGGGCCTGGAGGGGGCTTCCCATCTTTTCCAGGACCCTTTCCTCAGCTTATCTATGGATATGGTTCTCTAGCTGCCCGCTCTGGCCCTGGGCTGCAGCTCTGTGGCCTCCTGGCTCCTGTGGGTGTCAATATAGTCCTTGGCCTCTCCCTGAAGAACAGCCTCACCCCTGCCCAGGACAGGAGGTCTCTGTCACTCTGGCTCCTGGGATCCCTGACCCCCAGCCTTGTGTCGTTCCTCAATATCTTGTTAAATTTTCACATTCGTGGTTCAGTTAAGGGGCTATGATGAAGCCTTGGTGTCCAGCTCCATCTTCCTTAGAGTCCTTCCACCTATATCAGCTCCTCTTCCCGTTTTTTCCTGCCACACACGTTCTACTTCCTACTGTAGCCCCTCCATGTTCCTGTGTCCTGTCTGAGAGGCAGCTCTGTACCTCACTGTAGAGCAAAGATGAGTCATGGACCCCAGATGCAGGTTGCCCCTGGTCCAGCTCTGCTTCTCGGGTGTCCTAAGCTGAAGTGACCTGCTGCGGGGATCTTGGTGGAGCATGCTCACCAATGGAGCCCAAGATCCTAAAACAGTGCTTGACACATAGCAGACACTAAATAAATATTTGTCCAATAAATAAATGAATTAGATTTTACTTGAATACCCTCATCCACAACCACTTCCTAAATCTTTTGACTACAGTCAAAATAAGAGAAAAAGACACACCCACCCTTGATAAATACAATAACAGCAACTCGCTTGTCTTTCAGCGGCAGAGTTACTCTCTTAGAGTTGGCAGAATATTTTCGGCCCATTTGAAGAAACAAAGGACTTATTTGTAAACTAAATATTATTTAATACAGTTGGGATAGAATATCACAGCCAATATCTCTCGCCGTATGTTAAGACAGGCATTCGTGAAAGTAGATTGGTGGCTGCCTAGGGCTGGACTATGGAGAGATCAGGGCGACATAGTGAGTGACTTAATGGCATACAGGGTTTCTTGTTGGGGTGATAAAATGTTCTAAAATTGATTGTGGTGATGATTGCACAACTTTGTGAACATACTAAAAACCTCTGAATTGTACACTTTCAGTGGGTGAGTTGTATGCCCGAGAAAAGCATCTCAATAAAGTTGTTATTATAAAAAGACATAGGCCTTCCCACATCAATTTTCACTCCTCTTCAGTCCTACAGAAAGTCCTTTGAGTAGGCAATACAAGTTTTTAAAGCTCCCTCTCCCTTCCCCCTCCCTGGTCTGGCTCCTTTCTTAGCAATTACGGGGCACGCCGCAGGCCCTGCGAGCATGTGCCCAGCAGCCTGTGGGGCAGCATGGGGCGGGGCTGGGCCAGGATGAAGAGGGAACCCTGACGGGCGGGGAGGCTGTCGTCCAAGGCCCCTGTCCCCAAGCCAGGAATAATGAAGCTCTGCCAGGTCGGGAGCCACTACTTCCAGTTGCTTGAGGTTTTCCATAAGCACAGGCCCAGCTTGTAACAGGATTTCCAAGCCTCCAGCGTAGCCAAGTAAATATGCCACATGTTTAATTATACGTGTTATGTAAAATTGCTGTCCTCTAAGGAGACACCAAGGGCGACCAACGACTTACTCAGCTACTCAAAAATCTTTGAAAGAACCAAGGGCTCTGAAAGTCAAGAGCCTAAAATTAAGAAAAAGGAAAGTGCCTGCCCATGGGAGCCCCGTCCCCCAGCATCCTTCCTGAGCATTTTCTCTTTTGCTGCCAGACATAGTCTGCCTGTGTTCACATTAGCCTGAGTTGCACAAGCAAAAGATGGTGGGGAAGTGTCTATTGAACTTCAGAAATTATGTTTATGGTATTTTTATTTAGGGACTCTACACCATAGCTTCTTCCATGAGTTGTTCATTGAATGAGCCATAATAGTCATCTCTATTTCATAGAGTTGTTGGGAAGATTATATAAAATAATGCACGCAGGGTGCCTGGCACACGGAAGGTGTGGACTCTGTGCGTCCACTACTTATTATATCACAGTGGCAGTTGGTCGGGTCTAACGCCCTCTCATCTGGCCACCCAGCCACGTCAAGGTGGGTCCGGCCCTGCTTCTGCGATGCTTCATTAGCGCCTGGGGTCAGTTTGCCGCAGGGATGCCTCCTGCAAGGGGAACCAGGCTGCCAGGTTCAAACCCAGCTCCGCCTCTGCCCGGCCGTGTGACTTGGGACTAGTTTCTTCACCACCCTACTCCTTGGTTTCCTTGTCATCAATACGATGGATCAGTGAAACGAAAAGTAATGTATCCACTTAATAGGGCTGTTAGGGGGATTTATAGGCTATTATCTGTAGGATGCTCAGGAAGGGTGTCGCACACGAGAGCGCTTACTGGTGCCTGTTAAAGAAAGGGGTGGGGTGGGAGCTAGTGGGGCCTGACGCGGAGGGGACGGGCCAGGCTGTGTGGCCGGGATGTCGGGGCGACGGAGGTGAGGCTGGAAAGAACAAGCTCGGTGCACTTTCTCCGTGGAAGACTGAGTGGCACCGGGTGAGGATATTGGAGCTAATTGCCGAGGCCGCGGTGCCGCTCCAGCGGTGGATGCGGTGGAAGTTTCCACCCCCTCCCAGGGGCCTGGAGAAAGGGCCGGCGCTCGCTCGTTGGCCCGGGATGGCTCCCACACAAACGCACAGGAACGGGAGACCGGGCTATCAGGAGCTCTTAAGGGTGTGCTTGAGAGGATACCGAGATGGATTCTGTAACCTGGACTTCGGTCAAACTTAAAACGTGACTTAAGAAATGGATGCACGTAGCAAGACAAGAAGCAGTCAGGAAAGGAATAAAAATTCTAGCTCTCTGGCTTTTCCTAAAGGGATTCTTTTGGATTCGTTTGTTTCTAATATTTGAAAACTCCCAGGAGTATATAATTTGTCCCCTAAAACAAAACAGAACTCAAAAGTGTTTATAGAGAAGCCTCCTACCCCTTCAGGGAGCTTTGAGAGAAATGGGAATTTTGTAACGGGAAAGTTTCAGGTGATATCCTGCCTTCAGAAGTATGATAACAAAGGTCCTGTTATTGAGTCTGTTATAAGCCCCTTTGACATAGTTTGCTTAGCTCTTAGCTTGATCCTAAATTATTATTATTAGGCTCACGTTTACCCCTTAATCTGGGAGAACACAACCACATTCCCCTGGCCCAGGTCTCAGGTATTCCCCCCTCACCCAGCTCAAAAGATGGGAGATGGGCACTCCACACAGGCATTCAGACAGAGCTGTTAATCTAAAAACCAGTCTCTCGCTTTCTTGCATGTGGAAACACACAGTCTACCTACTGACCCAGCTCTCGGCTCCTCTGGCCCATGGGCTGTGGCCTGGGGTTGCTGGTGGCAGAGCCTGCAGATGGGGTTGGCTTTGGCAAGGTGGTGTGGGTGGCTTCCACGGGGGTGGTCCCCGGTACCTGCATCAGGGTGACTGGCTGTGCAGTTGTCCCGGGAACTGATGGCTTCTGATAGGCTTTTGTGGTCTGACCTGTAAGAAAATGAAATTACACTGGGGCCTATCAAATAGCCAGTAGGCTCTTCAGGACAGAAATGAAAGTTTATTGAACACTGGCTTATGAGCAAAGATCTGAGCTGGCTGCTGTGGAGGGCAAAACCCACCAGCCCTGTAGGGATGCACAATCTGGATGGAGCAACAAACTGATACACAAGCTCTTGGTGTTCACTATCACTTGCTTTTAGAGAATTCACTTGCATTCTAGATTTCTAGTTTAGGCTGTTTCATGACTAGTCAACTAGCTCCTCTGGGCCTCACTTTCCTCATCTGTCAAATGAAGTAAGAACTAATTAGACTGTAAGGATCAGGTTGATTGTCCTTCTAAACTGCGCCCTTCATCCATGTGTGACAATTTGGATTGCTTTCACAATTTTAGATGAGTCTCAATTTGTTGCTACTCTGGGTGCCCTGAGAGTACCTCTGAAGGTTTAGGGCAAGAGGACAAGTGGCTACCCACTGGGCATTGGGGATTGTCTTCAGAACCATGGGTTCGTGCCAGAAGAAGATACAAAATGGTCCCACAAGTGAAAAGTGCTCAGTCCTGGGAGGGCAACGCCCCCCTTGCAAATGCCTGCCAGACCCCACCGGGGCTATGCCAGCTTCTATATCTGACCATCTGGGTTAGTTTCCTAGGCTGCCGTAGAAAATTACCACAAACCTGGAGCTTAAAAGAACAAAAATGTATTGTCTGACAGTTCTGGAGCCCAGAAGTAGGAAATAGGTATCACCCAGCTGAACTCAAGGTGTCCGCAGGACTGAGCTTCCTTGGTAGGTTCTTGGTAGAATCTGTTTCCTGCCTCTACCACTTTCTGGTGCTGCTGGCATTCCTTGGCTTGTGGTCACATTACTCCAATCTTCAAGGCCAGTGCTCTCAATTCTCTCTCTGCTCCATCTTCAATTGACCTCCTCTATGTATGTGTCAAATCTCCCTCTAGCTCCCTGTTATAAGGATACATGTGCTGGCCTTTAGGACCCACTCAGATAATTCAGAATAATCTTCCCTTCTTAAGATCCTTAGCTTGATCATATCTGCAATGCCCTTATGTGCCGTGTATGGTAACAGTCACAGGTTCCAGGGATCAGGGCATGGATATCTTTGGGGTGGGGGGTACATTTCAGCCTGCCACAGCATCCCAACTCTAGCCTTAACTTGGCTCAGGGCTGGTGTATCTCTGGTGCACAGATCAGCAGGCCTATGGGACAGCATCTGAGATAACAAGGTGCTGCACTCTTCATGGGAACCACCCATCTTCCTCTGTGATTTGTGCAGCATGCTGGGAAAACAGTGTCTACAGGGGCCCCGACCACATGTGTAGAGAAACACGTGGCGGGTGTTCAGACCCACTGCCCAGCACTGGCACCTGTTCATTTCCCCAGCCTGACACCGTCACCTTCTGCGGCAGTCCAAGCACTGACTTGGGAGAGAGGGTCAGCAAACAGCGCCGTGGTATGGGGTTGGAGGTCAATCGTCTGGTCTCCTGCACGCATTCAAGGCAGGAAGCAGATCCCTCCTTTACCCTGATTCTTCTTTAAATCTGCCTGTGGACTGTGCCACACAGGTTGCTAAAGAGCTGGCAGTGGCCTCCAGGGTTCCGCCAGTCTTCACACCAGCCCTGGACAAAGCTGAACCTGTGATTTGTGGCATTTCCATGCCTTTAAAGGAATTGAGTTTTCCTAACAAGTCTTCAGGAAATTTCTAATTTCTCTCAAGTACTCCTCTGTCTTACCCTCTGGTAGACGCTACTGGGGGTTCAACCTGCTTCATATAGGAAAAAGCCATTTAAATAGAATCACTTGTATATTTTATGAAATGGGATACAAGTATTAATTTGGAGAGAAATATCTAAATAAACTGACAGTAGGCTTTACTTGCAAATTATTAATCAAACACTCACCTGTTTTTATTGAGCTCCGAGTAGCTTGAGGCTGCAGCCACAGAACAGCTGCCTGCCTGGGGTTGCTTCCTGGCGGGGGGACAGCGTTTAAATCCCAGGAATGCCTCTCCTCAGCCAGAGCTGCGCGGGCAAATCAAGATTCTTTCTATTTGGTGAGAGAATTCCCCGTGGCAGAAGGCTATTGTGCTTTCAGGGGCCATCCTGGCCTGATTTACCTGTTAACTCACATTCCTAGAGAGATTAGGGAGTATTTTACAGGGGCCTGCTGAGACCTGAGCAGCTGCCGGCCCTCACTTCACATCTCCATCTCCTCTGCTTTCCCCCAATTTCTGTAGGAATTGTATCATTTAAGGAGTAGCAACAAAAGGGCCACCCTTTTATGGCTCTCACTGGAATTTTGTGTTTGAGTTGGTGAAATTCACTCCATGGTGGGACTATGGCGTTAAAGAGACGTTCCTCTAGCTTGAAGCTGAGCAGGGTCCCAAGCATCCCTTGTACGTTGGGATCCTTGTAGCTTAGCTCAGCGCCTGGCACATAAAAGGTGCTCGATGTGTGGTTATTGAATAAATGAATAAATAAACGAATGGATGAACTTATTTTTTCCCACTATGACAACTACACATGCTCTTGTAGGATAGTAATACCGGTGATAGTGCTGAGGTGGCTTGGTAGAGGGGACAAGTGACATCAGCAGTGCTTGACCTGATGTTCTAACTATGGCTTCCCTGCACTCCTCTTGGACGTCAGTAACTCGGGCACATGGAATAAGTACTTGCTGGAGGTGGATGGTGATGAGCTGGGCCGTGGTGCTAGGGGTAGGTCGAGAAGTTTTGGAAAAGATCTCTGATGGGGAGATTGTAGAAACCAAATGGACTTTATAACCTAAGCTGTCATTTGGCTGTAACTCCACCTCTCTTCCCCTGACTTTACCTTCTTTGAGGGGTATAATCAGCGTTTGAGTGGTGCAGGGGTCAGTTGGAGTGGTGCCCTTGGGCAAGGTGTTAAACCTCTCCAAGGGTCAGCTTCCCTCTCTGAAAGTGGGGCATCACTGGCCCTCTGCCTCGGGTCACTGTGAAGTGCAGGTGTCTGGCACAGAGAAAACACTTGATCGTGACAGCCACAGTCGCAGGAGGTTGTCCAGGTTCTCCTGTTGTTTGGACTCTGGCTAAGGTCCAAAGCTGAAGCCAGAAGGCCCCCGTACCCTGTTCTAAACGAGGAGAGGTGCCACTGAGCTGCGCACAGTGGGGGCCATTCAATTAGAACCTGCGCGATCACCAGCCCCACCTCACCGGGGCCAGTCAGCAGAAGGAAAGGACCAGAAGGGGAGGGGTTAGCAGCCACCATTTGGGGACAGCAGTGTTCAGGCTGAGAGGACCTTTCCCCTTCCTTCATGCCTTCTCCTCCCCAAGCCAAGTGAAGGGGCTTCAGGGAACTCGCTCATCAAGACCGTGGGGGCCTGCGGGAAGGGGGTGGGCTCTCTTCCCCCCTGAATCTTTCTGAGCCACAGCACCCATGGGCCCACCTGGGGCACTGCAGAAGCAGAGCTTGCAGAAGAGGTTTGGGGATGTATTCTCCGAGTCTAGAAGTACTCTTCCTCTCAGCGTAAAAACACGGGGTGCTTGACATGTAGTCCCTGAAGTTTGGGGGCTTACTTGAACATAGGGATTATTTCTGAAGGGGGGAGGAGTGCAGGGCTCAGAAGGCCAAGGGTGAAGTGAGTAGGGGAGAGAAAGGTGACCTCACCCCATCCTTGGTCTCCTCAAACCCCTGAGGGGAAGAAGAGAGCCCCAGCCATTCCCACGGCTCTGTGCAGAGGCGCTGCCCAGGGGCTGCTGAGCCAAGGAATGGATGCCTAACACAGACAAAGAGGTGGGCATAGAGCTCTGGCCCAGCAAGAGGGGACAGGATGCAGCTGCACACTGTCCCCTGGCCCCAGATACATCCACACGTATCACCTACTCAGAAATGATCAGAAGCCACTGAGAACTGCTGGCCTAGATGAGACAACAGAGAGGCGGGGACATTCTCCCTCCATCAACTGGCCAGTCCTTAGGGGACCTCTGTCAACTATTCCTCCTCTCTGTGCCCACACCAAAAGAGGACAGGAGGGAGCTCAGGAATGGTCCCTGAGCCACCACGATCTGCTGCCAGCTTGGGGGTAGAGGTGGGGAACGGCTGTATCCTTGCATTTCAACCAAAACAAGTCTAGGTGACCAGAAAAGTTAAGATGTCATTAAAGATATAGTTGGAGAAATAACTGGGGGGAAATGAAGAACATTTGCTATTTGCATGCCAAGGCTTCTCAAATCAGGTCTCTTTATATACACTGTTATTAGCATTAAAAATACAGATCAATGGTATAGAGAGGTTTCTGTAGCCAGACTGCCTGGGTTTGATTCTCAGCTCTACTGCTGACCAGCTGTGTGACCAAGGGCAGGTTACTAAACTTCACTGTGCTGTGTTTTCCTCAGACTGTAAATTAGGGCTAAGACTAGTACATGCCCGTGGTGGTGTTGGGGTGATTGAATGCTACAATCAGCTCTGGGAACAGTGCCTGGCACGCAGCAAATGCTCAATAAATGCTAGCTTCCACCACTAAAGTACTTGAACAAAATCAGCTGGCCCACCAAGTTTCTGGAAGCAGTGCAAAATCCCATTATAAAGCAACTCACTGCTTCTCTGTGTGCGGGAAATCAAAGAACCCCAAAGACACAATACTGCAGAGCACGCTTCAGCTCCAACACAGAAACCGAGAAAAGGGTATTTTCTTGGCCTGAGGGTCTCCCTGTACCACCTTCGTGCTTCACAGGATTTGCGGTCGGCACCACCGCAGAGCCCGCGTGTCTGGGGCCTGGTTGTTCAGATTAGCCGCTCGCTGTCATCTCCTAAGCCGCATCCTTCCCTTCTCCTCGCTTCCCTCATCTCATACCCAAGTGAAGACAGCCTTTTTCCGCTCAGCTGCCCAGGAATATTTCCAGGCGGACAGTCATGTCATCTTCTAAAGTAACAATACAATAAAATTCAAGGCAACAGTGTTGAATTCTGAAGGCAAAGGAAGCAAGCACAGAGACAATCTTGGAATTCTGAAAACAAAAAAAAAATAAAGCCTCACTCCTGAGCCCCAGCCTTCCAGTCCCATGGATTTCTGGGCCCATCTGTTAAAATATTACTGAAGTCAGTGGACCTTGACCGGTTAAGATGTTAATCTCTGCACTGTCTCCTAAAACACAATATTACGTGTTTACGAACTCAGACGATTGAGATGAAATCACTCATGAACACTTGCCTGCTTTGGCAGCTGGGCTTTTAGCTGATGAATATGCAAGAGCCGATGGATAGGTTACGCCCTTTTGGGGTCTACCTTCTGCAAAAGAGAGAGAGAGAGAAAAAAAGATTTATTCCTGGAGCTGGAGGTTTTAGATGGCTCTGCTCTGATAAACTGATTCCCTCCTTCCAATTTGTCTTTCTTGAGTTCAGTAAAATCAGCCAGTCTCCGCCGTGCTGAATTGTTGATTACAACACAAAAGTCAAGTGGCATTTTGCTTTCCTGGATCGTCTGTGCATTATTAATATTTGAAAGGAAGCAATAAAATCTCCGTGACTCAGAGTTAGCATTAACAACCCTTATTTTGCCCGTGAAGATGTGACGTGGAAGCTGAGGTTTTCATACATGTGGCTTTGAATGCTTAATTAGGTCAGGAGATGGGTGTAAAACATTCCCCATGCTCTTCTTTAGATGCTGGAGGGCCCTGGTCACAGGCCGGCTAAGCCTGAATGGCTGCCTCTCACTTTTATGGACTCTGTGGGATCCATTTGAATTCCACAGCACTACAGAAATCGGAAAGAAGGGAACCGTAGATCAGCCTCGAAAATAAGCATTTGTTGCCCACCTAGGGAGAGAAAGTTTAGATGCCAGGTAAGTAGAAGGAATGCTAATGCATACCAGGGAAATAATGGAGGAATAAAAAACAAAACCAATCAGGGGGTAGGGGCTGGGTAAGCAAGCACCAGGCCTGACAGGACTGAAATTTCCAGAGAAGGCCGTTGCCCGAGGTCTTCCCCCACCACGAGGTCATACCTGAAATTCCACCATAAAACAGAAAGTGTCCCTGGAATGTAGAAGCCCCCCAAAGGCAGGTAATTTGTCTCACATGGTAACTGTTGAATTCTCAGTGCTGATAGCGGTGTCTGACACCTGGTAGATGCTCAGTAAATATTTATTCAGCAAAGGGCTCTCTTAATGCTTAGATCTCTGTTAAAATTCAGATGCCTGTTATGAAATATTTCCATCTAATAATGAAAGCATTTTAACTCTCAAGGGAGGGGACATTTTTATAAGGTGGGGCTAGAGAGAAGATGGGGAGGAGTGTTGAATGGAGAGCCCAAGGGGGTGGAACAGAGTCTAGTACAAAGGATTGTAGGGTGTGAAGCAGACAAAATTATGGGGTCTCAGGAAGGGTTTGGGATTGGGAATAAGAAAATATAGGTTTTGCCTGAAACTAATACAAAATAATATTGAATGTAAACTATAAATAAAATAAAATAAAAATAAAAAACATATATATACATTACTGCCTCAATCTCTGAGACTCCTGTTTTTTTAATTCAGAAAATATGTGCAATGATATGGACCAACATACTACACAAAGCTGTAGGATCTAATGGGAAAAAAAGTTAAAGGTTTCAGAACCTATCATCAGAGGAATGCAAAAAGGTTATCCTGGTATTACCAATAAATGCCAATTAAAGGGAATGAGGCAAAATGTTTGAGCTTGGCTGAGGTGCTCCGTGCCGTGAGAGCTCCTGGTTCCGAGCTGGGCCTTTCCATGTCCTGTGCCCTTGTCCGGGCCTGACCCAAACAGGCAACGGCGGAGCCTCTTCCAGACCCCAGGAGGGCCCTCGGCTGTGGCCTTGCGTGTCAGCAGAGGCTGCAGGGACGTGGCTTCTGTTTCCTATTCTTCTAAGATCCTGTGGTTCTTTCTATTTCTATTCGGAAGGAAAAGGAGCATGCGCTCTGTTTTCTGAAATGTGGATCACAATCCGAATGCGCAGCTTTCGGAGGCCCCTCTCTGCCCTTCCCCGCCCTGGACTTTGGACTGTGCTCATCAGGAATGCGAGTCCCCTCTCCGGGCCCTCCCAGGCCGCAGCACACTAGGGAGCAGGGACAGGTGGCAATTAGAGACGAAAACCTAGAGAGGGGTCACGGAGGCCTCTGAGCCGTCGAAGAGGGATTCTGACGTGATTCTGCAAAACCTGTTGACTGTGAGGCTCTGGGCCACAGGGAGCATGCTGTGGCCACCGGTCAGCGGCCACCAGTCAGTGGCCACCAGCCAGCGGTGCGCTTTCCCAACGCCTCCGTCCGAAAGACACGCCTGAGAAGCACCAGGGTGATTACCTTTGGCCCAAAGGGTGCTCGGTTAAATGTCAGGAGACGGATGAGGGAACATGGAAGTTGAGATTTATAGGGAATAATCTCAGCAGACTGCTTTTCTCATGGAATTATTTTTTCTTTTAAAGCTTTGTTTGGGATTCTTGGATTGCAGGCTAAGTCCTTTAGATCAAAATACTCTTATTTAGCCAGGAGCTACTTGGTAAACACCTAGGTGGAGATTATATTTCCCTCCATACTCAACAAATCTGTATTCTAGACATGAGCATTTTCACGAGGCCGCTATTCTGAATTCTTTGTTACAAGGCAAACCTCACAGCACTGTGGTTGATGACTTCCCACTGTCTGACTTAGAAACCAGTCTAATTTGAACCCTAAGCGTGCAGAAGGGGGAAAAGTTTCTTCTTTATTTAAAAATACTAGCTAATGGATTTGGAAGAAATGACAGAATGAGAACAACTGTAATTTTGCAACTACTAATGTAATTCTTGCTATAGCAAGGAGATGTTCAAACCACTGAGTGATTTGTTGGGAAACAAGCTATTCGTGCTGTTTTGAAGTATCACCCTGCAGATTGTTTATTAATTACAAGGTATTTTCACCATGGAGAGATAAGGTAAATTATCCAATTAATCAAATTGAGCCTCACCAACAATTGGACACATTGACATTACCTGCCTCCTGATATGGTCACTGTGATGTGACATCTGGGTGCGCTGAGATGCTGCCTGGGTGGTATCTTTGCCAAAATATTTAACCCGAATCCAATCATGAGGAAACAGTTGGACACGTTTGTGGTCCAGATTGTGGGACATACTACTGGACAACTGGCTGGGACTTCAAACATGTCACTGCCGTTCATGACCAAAAAGATAATGCGGTGGGTAGTTCTAGATGAAAGGACACTAAGTAGACATGACAGCTAAATGCAATAGATGATCTTTGATTGGGTTGTAGATCCAAGAAAAGAAGAAATTATTCTGAAGACTGTTTTAGGATAATTGGATCCAATGGAATAGGAACTATTTATTAGATAATATTGCATCAGTGTTAATTTTTTAGGTATGGTGTTGGTACTGCGGTTAATTAGGAAAAAGTTCTTGTTCTTACAAGATGTGTGCTGAAGATAAAGTGTCATGAAGCCTGCAGCTTATTTTCACATGGTCCAGACAAAATATAGCTAGATGAAGGGCAGATAAATAGATAAGGTGAATGTAGCAACATAGAAACAATTGGTGAATCTAGGTGAAGGAAATACAGATATTCATTGTAATATTTTTTGAAATTTTCTGTAAATTAAAAAATTTTCAAAATAAAAGGTTAGGTTGGGGAAATTCACAAATATAAAAAAGGGGGGGGGGAGATAATACCAAGATACATGGTCACCTTTTCCCTGTGAAATCACACTAGTCATTAGCTCACTGACATTAGCTTTTTGGAAAAGTGAAAATGGTTATCTACAAAAATCCAATGGCGCTAGATAGTGAGAACTGATTGACTAATGAAACAATTATTAAATAGAAACGAATCTCAAATAAAATTGTTGCTCAGATCTCTAAGAGCCCATGTCCCTATCTATTCATTTACCAGAAATCACGACGGATACGGTTCTAGATATGAGACTTAATTTGGCCTAACAAAAGAAGTAGTTAAAAAACCCAAGTTATTAAATGTAATTCACTTAATTAAAAAGTCTGATTGGGCTTACAGATCGCTGCAGTGTGTTTAAAATGAATAATTGGAGCCTTTTAATATTTCTAGACTTTGCAGTGCTTTATCACTAATTATAACTCATTGTTTCACGATCCTAATTATGAGAGGAACTAATGCTTCAGGTCTTTATGAAATGAGGCGAGCCATGAATTAAAACTAACACCGTGAAAAGAGCGCATTTTGTCCCGGGGGGTCCCCTAACCCCCGCGCCGGCGTGCAGCAGCTGTCCCCGGAGCGTGGGCGTACCTGCGACGACGAAGGACTCCCTCCACCGCGGCAGAGGCAAGGACTGGACGCCGTTGGAATAACTCCCCCTGTAGCCAGACTGTCCAGCTGCTTTCCGAACAAGGATCTTCCCTCCTGAGTTATCGAGCACACCACTAGGGAGAGAAAACAAATACTTTTCAAGAAAGACCAGAGTAAATACTGTTTGATGTGATCAACAGGGTATCAAACCAGCCTCCGTCTTCATTTGAAGACAGGAAAGCAGCGAGATTCGGAAACGGTTTACCCTGACCTGCAGCCCACGCCTCGGTCACACGGCCAGCGGGTCACCTCCCAGCTCGGATGTCCCTCTCTTTCTTATTACAGGACCTGACGGTTCAGTCCGTCAGGGATTTCTCTTTGCCACCACGCCTCAGATTTCTTTTCCTTGGTTTCCTCATTTCCACTAGATCGTTTCAGTAAAACTTCTTTGCTGTCAATTTTCAGCTTGGTTTAGTAACATCACAGATTGACTCCAGTTATTTCAAAGGCTGTGGTACGACGTTTTAAAAAGCAAATTATTCCTTTTATTTTGGGCCAGGGAAGGAAGGTGTGCAGCTAGATTAAACGCATTAAAGAAAGAGTCCTCAAAGACTGGAATTGCTTACTTAACTTCCAGGATTGTGAAGGTTTTAAATCCTGATGTGATGAAACTGACACATCCACCTCTTCCCTCCCGTGTGAGGCAGAGGCTCCGTCTGGCTCCTGACTGTCACTGTCGCTTTCACACTGTCGTTTCCTTGCCCCAGAGGTTAAAAGGGCTTTTGGGGCATTTGTAATGTATGGCACAGGGGAGCTAAGAAAGCACATAGATTTGTTTTTATCGACACCTTTCCTTCTCTCCGGGAATGAGAGTTTCCATTTCTTGCTCTCCCACCTTACGGCGGAGTCAACAACTTTCCAAACCCAACTTCCCGACGACCCAGAAGAAAAGAAAGCGATGATAATAATACTTGACATTTAAAGCACTGACTTGCTTTAGAATCATTCCCAGATACCAGCGATTTTCAACCGGCGTGCTGCGTGCGCCAGGCACACTGTGCCACAGGAGTTTTTAGGACATGCGATCCCTGACTATTTAGTCAGGGGCACCGACCTCCTTTCCCTTAGACTGTCAAATAAAAAAATGACAACAGCCAACACAGCAGTAGCTGTTCATTGTGAATGTGTCAAAATTATACCAATTTTTTGGTCAAATCGGCAAAAAATAGAATATATCTTTGGAGTTCCGCAGGATTTTAGTCATTGGTTTATGTGTGCCGTGGGAAGAGAAGGGCTGAAAGCTGCTGCTGTGTATAGCATCTCCCTGGGTCCCCTCAGCAAACCTGAGTGTGGAGGGGCGGGGACGCTGTTATTCCCAGTTCACGGAAACAGACTTAGACAGGTTGAGTGACTCCAGATTTGGTAATTCATAAACGTGAGGCAGAGATCTGACCTCAGGTCTAATTGGCCTGGAATCCCGGGTCTGTCCCACTGGTCACAGATGCCTCTCAGGGTTCAAAAGCACAGGACCTCCGGACGCCAACTCCTCACGTCTTTGGGACCCTGCCCTCTCTGCCCCTGGGCGCTCGCAGAACCGGTCACCTCACGGCCAGTGCAGAGGCTGGTCTCGGCTCCCCCGACAGACCCATGATTCTCTCGCACGCTCTCTGTCCGAGCTGCTCTTTAGCTCTGAGAACCTGCTTCCCGCACCTGCCTCTCTCGGTCCCTGACATCTTCCCCGCAGAGCTTGACACGACTTACCTAGGCCCCTGCTAACAGCGCCTTAAAACCCTGCCTCACATTGAGCCTCTGGTTTTATTTGGCCTGTGCTGTTTCCTAAAAATGCCTTGAGTTAGTTTCGTCTCCCAGCTAGATCGGAAGTTTTCTTCTGGGAAGGACGGGTTTTACGCTTCTGCCTTAGAAGGCCTGTGAGCCGTGTGCGGGCTCCGCTTTCCAGAGCCAACTGGTAAACGTCAGGATTGTGGGAACTGGTTCATTTCACACCGAGAGCTTGAAATCAGACGCGATGGGAGTATTTATACCACAGAAATTGGTAAATCAGCAACCCCGACCTTTTTGGAGAGCTGGTTGTTAAACATTTACCAGCGCACCACTGGTGTAGTGGAAACTTCTAATTATTAAAAAAAATTATTCTGTCATCCCTTTACTTATAATTAGTACGGAAAATAAAAATAATTTCCAGTTTTTAATTTTCCCCCAGAGAAATTATTCTGCTCTTGGGTTTATATTCCACTGTACTGAGGAAGTGTGTGTGTGTGTGTGTGTGTGTGTGCACTTGCTCGCTGTAGCTGCCACTCAGGGTGAGGAAAGGGGAGCTGTGTTGAGCTTTCCTCAGGCTGTGTGAAAGGCAGGTGGAGGCTGCTGATATCCCCTGTGAAGGTACGTAAGACTGAAAACCCAGACTGTGGGAGAGGCGCGGATGCAGACCGATTGCATTCCCATGAGATGTTCTGGTTGTAGAAGAGAGCAAAGCCTCCTCTTGTGGACGTAACTGAAGGACGCAATGTCCCCAGACATTGTCCTAGAGAAGGCAGATCCTGGGGAGGTCCGCGCTTTGTGCTCCAAAGTCGAAACCCCCCTCGCACTCTCAATTTGTACACTGAGCAGTGCTGAGACCCCCTGTTCTGACGGAAGTGTGTCACCTGGGCTCTGGGCTGGCAGGCCTGGACGTGGGTCCTAATCCTGAATGTGTAACTAACTAGCAATCCAATTAACTTCCCTCTGCCTCAGTCCCGTTCTAACCAACGGGGGTGCTAACGGCAGTCTCCTAGGGTTGAGACGATGCTAACAGGAGAGAGTCACAGAGTAAGGGATTACGGCCATTGTGATGACATCTTTGGTGAGGTCAGATTAACTCATGTGGCTCTGTCCTGCGTAGGGAACACGGGAAGGCAAGAGAGTGCCAGCCATCTGGGGTCACAGATGGAGAAATACAGGCGATCTGAAGACAGGCTCAGCCTGGCCACAGAGGTCAGAGCCTGCAGACGAGGCGGGAGAGGGCCGGCACGGTGGCGCTGTGCAGGACGCCACGGCGTGCAGACTGGTGTGTGCGCACATGTGTGTAGGCACGTGTGGGCGGCACGCGTCTGTGTCCGTGCACATGCAGGCGTGTGGATTTATGTGCCTCTTTCTTCCGTCATGAAACTGACTTCAGAGTGAAAGCAAAATATTTTCCTCCCACAGCCTGGAGTTAAACAGCCTTCGGCGCTGCTGTTCTGAAACCTTCTCTGCTTATCCCGAGAGGAGCCTCCGTTCACTGCTCACAGTGAACCATCAGGTGGCTCGTCCCCCCTGCAGGGGTGGGAGGCAGGAGCATGGCCAACATCCACTGGTAATGCTTACATCTTATTTACACATAGATTTTTTTTTTCGTTTCTTACTGCTTCTCTAAATTTCAGAGACCCTGCCGGCTAGGTACCTCGAAAGGGAGTGGATTCTACATCTTCCCCCCTCTCTCTGGCAGAGGTGCAACTGAACAACCAGCTGACTGGTGTGCCAGGAAGGAAAGGGAGAGAGAACCAGAAGCCCGAATAATTCAGACGCTTCATCAGGATCCAGCGTCCAAGTCCCGACGCGGGAGCCACGTCTCGGTGCAGTGCTGGGCAGTGGTTAGGAGCGTGTGCGGGGCCCTGACGCGGCTTCGAGGCCCTGCTCTGACGCTCAGCCTTAATAGTGCAGCTTTAGAAAAGCTGTTCAACTCTAAGGTGGATACTAGCAGTAGATACCGCATAGGGCGACTGTGAGGTTTAAATGAGATAACAGAGGTGAGGTGCTCGACACAGACACAGTAACCTTAATATCAAAGATGTCAAGGAAAGAGACTTTCCTGAGCTTTGATTCCAAGCGAAGAGCAAGAGGGGCGAGGGCTCTGCGACGGTCACTGTTGTCTCTCTTCATTCAGGCAGTGAATTACTTAGTCCATGCCACGCCTCCTGTCCTCCTGCCTGGTCTCAAACCAACAGCTGACCAAGCAGCCCCCCCCCCCC